CGGTTCCTGGCCCAGTGGAAGTTCGAGTGCCGCTTCTCCAACGCGACGGGGCGGGCGCAGGTGCGCTTCCTGCAGAGGGACTTCTATGGCGGGCAGGAGATCGACCACTTCGACAGCGACGTGGGCCGGTTCGTGGCCGTGACGCCGCTGGGGGAGCCCGACGTCCAGTCCTGGAACAGCCGCAAGGAGGTGCTCGACTACTACCGGGCCTCCGTGCAGCGCTTCTGCCGGCACAACTACGAGATCTACGGTCCCTTCGCGCACGGGCGGCGCGGTGAGTGGGTCCCGGCGGAGCGCGACGTCCCTTCCTCCCCCAAGGCGCCCCAGTGCGAGTGCGGGGCCCGCAGCCCTGCGGGGGCGCCTGTGCCGTGTCTGCGCGGGCCGCCCTCTGGCAGGGGGGCGCGTGTCCCTCCGGCAGGCGCACCTGGGGGCCCCCGAAGGGGCACGCGGGGGACCGGGGGCGGGGGGACCCACGTCCTCGCCCCCTTTGGAGCGCTTCACTGCAAGGGGGCGGGACGCCTTCGGTGGCGTTTCTGGAAGATGCTGGTGGGGAAGCGGCGGGGAGGGCGCCCCTCCGACCTCGCCTCCCAGGCCGCGCGGGCACCGCTGGAGCCTCCACGCCCGGCGGCCGCCCCGTCCGGTGGGAGGGCTGAGTCTTCTCGAATTTGGAACGATGACTGCTCGGAAATGGAACCTTTCCCATTTTGCACACGATGTTTTTAAAATCATCTGGAAACAGAGGAAATTTGAGAAATAAAACTATGCAGTTTTGGCAATATATGAAGTTTGAATATTTCATGCTTGCTTGACGGAAATGAGTTCCAGTTGAGCCATTTCTTCCTTTTCCCTTCACAAACTTAAATGTATTCTTGTATTTTTTGTAAACGAACAAGGGTATGTATTATACCTTACTTGAATTCCTTTTTGTTCTTCTGTAGAGATATTTATACACTATAATTTACATTTTTCATAATTAAGTTTAATCTCTATAGCCCCTCAATATTTCTAAGTTTTTTAGAGGCTCTAGTCTTTTCTTTTTATTTCTTTCAAAAAAACAAGCCTATCATCTCTGTACAAATTAATGTTATGTTGTTTAGCTTTTATCTGTATTAGCATTTTTCTGAGCCCATCTGCCAGAGGTTCTATGGGAAAGTCACATATCAATGCTGACACATGATTGCCCTTCCTGAATTTTTCAGAATCCACTCCAGTAATCGTTAATACTGACTACACATCTCCAAACAATATATTTTATGAGCTTAATAAGCATCTCACCCATATTTATCACTTTCATAAGTTCAACTGTGTATTTCCATTCCAAACGATCAGCTGTATCATCCTCTTACATTTTCTGTTTAGACTCAAACAAAATGTTTAACTCTCTACATTATGGCTTCTGACTATATTCTCATGAATTTATATATATAATTTAAAATAAAAATAATTATTTATAATAAGCTGCTAGAAAGCAATAAAAATATAAAATACATCATAACATTGAAAGGAAAAAAACCAACAGAAATTACCCCCCCCCCCCGTATATAAAGAACAAAACACAACCTGTGCATCCTGCCATTGGACCGTGGCTGTTTAATATTTATACCTTCACTTCCTTCCTCTTCTTTGCTTGTAGCTTTCACTCTCTGTCCTTTCCGGAATACCCCCTTCCACCCAGAACTGCATTCACTGAATCAGCCAAAGGTTTAATACCCTTCCCTTGCATTAGTACGTATTCAATACACAAAATCCACAGAGCATTAAAATCATTCTTTCTCAGTCCTGTTTTTCACCCTAATCCCATTTCATCTTTGCATTAACAGCCATATTCCAGATTTCTTTATTCCATTCAATGAAGATCTGGTTTCTCCTTCCTATTTTTTTGTTATCATTTTTGCTTACGTTGCCAATTTTATTATTATTTTTTATTATTCTGTTTGCATTTCTATTTGTAAAATATTAGCAATACTGCTTTTTAGGATCTGCTTCAATTGTCAAGTTCAATAGGTTGCTAATCTTAAAAACCTTTCTCCAAAATTTCTTAATATTTCCACAATCCCACCACTTAGGGAAATAAGTGCCCATTTTTTCCCCACATCTCCAACATGAACTCAGATATTGATTATCCATACAAAATAATTTGACTGGCATTGGATACCAATGCCACACTCATGTGTAAAAGTTTCCATAATTCTAACTGACATAATTTTTCCAATGTTTACCTGTATTTCATTATGAAAGTGCCCAATCTTTGGGCTAAAATACAGTAATTTTCATTACCATGATATATCAAAATAAATCGCATGACAGTTGACAACAATATGGCAAGCTGATTGGTCGATACAGGGAAGGCGGTGCCCCACCAATGAAACTCTGAGTCCAGAATAGGTAATCTTCTCACTAATTTCCGAGAAGCAGGTGCTTCATCTCCCTTTAATTGAACATTTTTGAGTGATGCAGAACCACTTCAGCCTCACATGCCTTACAGTAAAACCCTCAAATCCTGGGGCTTTTCCTTTTAAAATCTGCATCAGGGTTTGCCTTTCAGTTCTCGTGGAACTGAGATGCTGTTTCTGTTCCTCTGGAATTGGAATAAATGATAATGGATTTCTCTGCTTCCGCAAAGGCGTCCAGACCTGGCTTTTCCTCCAGCCTCTTTCTGCCTCCATCGTTTTCGTTCATCCAAACATTGCTTGTTTCTATGTGGGCTTGACTCTCATGTCAGCATTAGCTGTGGGATGTGTGGGGTGCAGGATCTGGCCACGCTGCCCTCTCTCCCCCAGCAAGCCGCGTCCCCCCCAGGAAATCCTTGCTTCATGTTCGGGCCCTTCCGCTCCTCCATGATTTCTCCTTCCTCCACTTCCGGTGCATGTCGGGTTTTTTTTTTTTTTTTTTGAGATCATCCATAAGCCCACATGGCCTTCTTTTTAATGCTACCCTTTTTTTGGTCAGAATTGCTTGTGATTGTGCCTCTGGAATTTCCTTTTTTAAATTCTCACTCATCTTGGACGTCATTCCCCTGTACAGTTGCTTGTCATGAGACTGGACTTAGCATTGCTCAGAGTTTGATGAAATCATCTTCCTGTAAGCCCAGGGTACGCGTTTGGCTACACGTGTCTTTTACTCCTTTAGAATCAGGAGTCCAGGTGTGACACGGTCACTTCCCCCCCAGAATTCCCATAGCGGCCAGTTTGCCCACTGGGCCTTCCCTGCTGGTTAGTCCCAAGCCCAGGAGAGCCGTCCCGCCTGTTCCTTCCCCGCTTTCTGCTGGATGAAGGGATGAGCAGCACAGGTTGGGACCCTCGTGGAGGGGCTGCTTGGCAGAAATTCTCTTGAACAGATTAGGGGGAAATTAAGGTGCCCCGTAAATGGGAGGGTCAGAGCATACAGAAAGCCCCCAAACCACACAAGAGACCAAACTGGGGGCAGGACGGAGGGAGGAGGGGTTGCCTTGGGGAGAAACATGGGAATTGGGGAGGGGAGATAGGGGCCTTTCTCTTCCGCTCCCCCTTTTGGTGCTTAGCATTTTCTGGTGCCCCTCCCTCAACAAGGGCAGATCAGGCCTCCTCCCTTCACTACAACTCCCCACAGCCCCTACGACTGCCCCCATCAGCTTCATGGGAAGACCCTGCTTTGGAAGAGGGAGATAATTTACTCCCCCTCCCCATTCTCCACCCGTCGCTCTGCCCCGGGGGTCCCCCTCCCGTTACCCATCGCTCTCTGCTCTTCCTCTTCCCTCGCCACCTGCTTTCCTCTCATGTCTCACACCACCCCCTCCTCTCCCCCAGTCCAGCCCGCGGTCACCATCTCCCCCACCAAGGACGACCCCCTCTCCCCCCGCACCCTGCTGCTCTGCACCGCGGCCAGCTTCTACCCCCGGGAGATCGAGGTCCGCTGGCTGAAGAACGGGCGACGGGCGACGGAGGGGGTCTTCTACGGGGAGCAGCTGCACAACGGGGACTGGACCTACCAGACCCAGGTGATGCTGGAGGACACCCCCCAGCGCGGAGACGTCTACGCCTGCCAGGTGGAGCACGCCAGCCTGCAGACGCCCATCACCGTGCAGTGGGGTACGGCCCTCCTCCCCCTTTCCCTTTGTGGGGCACTCCTGGGCACTGGGTCAGTCTGTGGGTGGGCTGGGGGAAGGAAAGGAGGGGCCTCAGGTGGGCAGGGGAAGGGTGGCCTCTTTTTGGAGGGAGCAGCAGAGATTGGGGGTGGCAGAAGCTCTCCCCCAAGGAAGAGATGTTGGCAGCCCTACTTCCCCCATTTTGGTTCCCTCTGGAGCTGAGTCCAGCCCCCCAAGTGACTCCTCCATATGTTCCAGTCTGTGACTGTCCGGCCCATGAGGGATGGAAACATGAACTCAGCCCTGCAGACCTTAGTGATGGGGCTGGGGCCTGAGCGATCCGCTGTGGTGCCAGAAGGTCACCCTACGCATGTGTTGTGCACAGAATGGCCCCCTCGTGTCAATTTTTGTGGCTGAGAGGCTTCACCTGGCCCTGGTCCGGCTCTTGCATGAGTTCGCCCCCTCTTTCCCCAGAGCCACGGACGTCCGAGTCTGCCCGGAGCAAAGTGTGGACGGGGGGTCGTGGGCGCCCTGCTGGGCGTGGTCTTTGTGGCCGTGGGGCTCTCCCGCTACCTGCGGAGTAAGCAAGGTAAAGGGGGCATTAGAGTATTTGGGGGGCAGGATCAGGGAATGAGATGCATTTCCATACCCCTCAGAGATGCTGCTTCTGGGATGCTGGGATTCAGTGTTTTCTGTTTCTATGGAAGGGAGGCTCCAATGGTCCCTCCCCAAATCTAAATTGGGCCGTGCAGAGATCCCACACCAGTTCTTGGAGGCATCGAGAGACACAGGATGGGGGTCCCCATGTTCACTGAAGGCCAGACCTGTTACCCTGTAGACCAGAAGGACTCCATTTGGGGCTTGGCTTAATCGTCCCTGCAAATCCGTGGTCATCTCAGTCCAGAAGCTTTCCTGGGAAGGCAGTTTGTATTTTGCAAAAATGGGGAATTTTGCTGAGCCAAGGAAAGAGTTTGGCAACTTTTTTTTGAGGAGCCGTTCCGGGTCCAGGAGGGGAGGGTGTTGCTTTGGTGCTCAGGAATCAGCCCCTCCCTCCGTGCCTTTAACACTGTCTCTCTCTCTTTCTCTCTCCCTCTCCCCAGCGTCTCCCGTCCAGTAATCTGCAGGCATGGCCTCTCCCTGTGTCCTCCCCAGTTGCTCCTCCCCATTTCTTTCCTGCCTTTCCAATGATCCTTGTCCAGAGTGGGGGAACCGTGTCTGAAGGGAGGCCCCTGGTGTCTTGGGGCGCTTTCTGCACCTTGGCAGAGGTATGTCTGGCCCTGGGGGGCAGCAGAAGGTTCCTTGGGGTGGCCTGAGAGCTGTAAGGAGAGCTGTAGAAAGTCAACCGCCCCACCCTCTCTCCTTCCCGCATGTTCCAAGCATGCATTCTCCTTCTCCGCTTTTTCATTCCTTTGCAATTTCCTTGCCTCCTTTCCCACCCCTTCCCTGCAGCACTCGTCGGCTAGTCCACCAGGGCACGGGGTAAAGGAAGATACTTCCATTCTTCCTGCTGGAACTCAGCTTGTCGATTCTGTCCTTGGGAGATGCGAAGGTGAAGGGGCTGGAAAGCTGCGGATCGGCACGAGGAGGAGAACCGCAGCTGGAACCGCTCCCGCAAAGACCAGCTGGACATTCCCTGATTTTCTGCCTGCTCTTGCTTGGGTGGGAGGGGGGTGATGGGGTGGACTGATCCTGTCAGGCGCTCACAACACACCTGCCCATTTTCAATGGATTTCGCCAAAGAGCCAGACTTTTTGGCTTGGTTGGGATTCATGCTGCGGAGTCCCAGGTTCCTGATTAAGTGTAAGAGAGGCCACATTCCCTTCCTCACCCACTGGACCCAACAGTTGTCCCCTGAATGAACGGCGCTGTGAGTCGCTCCAGGCCAGCTTCTGCTTCTCCCAGAGCTGGTGCAATTTTGGGGCTTGGAGTCCTGAAATCTTTGCTCACACCTGCAGGCTGTCTTGGCATCAATAATTTCCACTTTTGTTTGAATGGAGAATGATCAGAAAATACACTTTGATGACATGATGAAATGAAGGATGTTCTGTTCAGAGAGGGGCTGCACCATGGTGGTGGAGCCCCTGCTGGGCATGCCATATGTCCTCTCCAGCCTGGGACCACGTGGAGAGGCTGCTGGTCAGTGCTGCAGGTGGAGCGCATGGAGTGGGGTCTGGCGCTGTCCAAAGGCCGCTCTGCTTGTCTTTTGCATCCTTCCGCACTGCCCCCCCCCCCACTGCATCTGGGAGTCCTGCATGTCCTCTGGGGAAATTGGGGTGCCCATGGAAATTGACAAGTGACAAGTGAATCCCTTCCTGGAGAGGATGAAGCTGTGAGGGCCTCCCTTGCCCCGCACCCTCCTCTTCAGCTGAGCCCAGCAGGAGTGTTCCCCTTGGGAGGGAAATGGGGCTGCAGAGGTCATCAAGCCTGCCCCAAATTATCCTCACCTTCCGCACAGGACCTGTGGGGGAGATGCTGATCAGCAGAAGGAAAACATGTCAATGAAATGGCCAATCTTTATGAGGGAAACCAGAGCTGAGCTCTGCCTGGCACTCCTTGCTGCCCCGACCCTAGACGAGGGGGCTGACCTGGCATATATTACCAAGACCTGGGTGGGAGAAGGAGGATATGTTCCCCTCTCACAATTATGCCATCTGGGTACCTCATGCAACACCGGCCACACCCAGAGGGAAGGGGAGGGGGGTCGCCCTGGTTTACCAAGCCTCTATCCCCTCACAAGGCTTCCTCTTACTTCAAGACCCGGCCTAGAGTATTTGCATCTTGTGTTGGGCAGTTGAGAAAGATTAGGGGCTTTGCTGGTGTGGCGCGCACACTCCTGCCCAGCAGAGTCCCTTCCTGAGCTGACAGAGATCTTCTTGAACCTGGTGTTCAGGAGACCCAGGATGTTGGTATACACCTGAGTTGCAGGTGATGGAGCAGGCTGGGAGACGATTAGAGCACAGGTGGAGGAAATCTCCGGACGAATCTGACTGAACACACTTACACCCTGTGAGGAGGCAGACGGGCTCACCCCTTTTCCTGGGGCCTTCCACAGCAGGGCTGAAGATAGCACAGCAAGGCTGGGAATCTGTGTGGGGAGAGCAACGTGTGAGAAGACAACAGCCAGGAGACGCGAGGGAGCACACAGCTGTACGGGATTGTGGACGGAGGCAGGAGCAACTGGGCTGGGTGTAGTGGTGCAGGAGGAGGGCGTATAAAGGAGAGGCAGAGGAAGGAGACGGGGAGGAGGAGGGAGAGGGTGAGGGAGTGAGAAGGATGGAAGAGAGGAAAGAACGCCGAAACACATGTGTTTGGAGGAAAGCTGGCGAGGCAGTCGCTGGCAGGCGGGCCAGTGCAAATGGAGAGCGGAGACGGGAGCAACTGGCTGGGGCGATGCTGTTTGTTGCCATAGTGACAAGAGGGATCCAGAGCAGGTCTGGCCAAGGCGCTGCAGGAAGCGAGCGGGTGCAGGTGTAAAGAGTGCACCATCCTTCTTGTTTTGCTCTCGATGGAACATCAAGGAAGAGGCAGCTTTAGCCGGCACCCCTCTCCTGACAAGTTACACACACTCATGATCAAGCTTAAGCTGTGGCGGTGAGGGCAGAGAGGAGGCAGTACTTCCCCACTTCTCCCCACTTCCTGGACTCCAACATGCACTCCCAGGCTTGGAGGATGGTGCTGCAGTGCAACGAAGGCTCTCTGGTCTTGTTCTCGGCCACCCTCAGCTACATGGGCTTCTTGGAGGCCGTCTGCTTCATGGTGGCCTTCCTAGCCAGGGAGCTGCGCGGAGCCTTCAACAAGGCCAAGCTGATCACCTTCAGCATGCTGGTCTTCTGCAGCGTCTGGGTGTCCTTCACGCCCACATTCCTGAGCACGAGCGGCAAGTACATGGTGGCCGTGCAGCTCTTCTCCATCTTGGTCTCCGGCCCTGGTTTCCTGGGCTGCACCTTCCTCCTCAAAATGCCACATTGTTGTGTTGAGACTTGAACACGAAGGAGAATATACTGATCCCAACCAAGCAGGGCATCGGACGACCTTCTTTGGGCTTCCCCACTCGAGGCACCTCCATGTGCCCGAAGCTTGGAATTTGTGCAGCGATCCTTGCCAGGCTTTGCTGTGTGCCCTGCATTTCCTCCAGAGGGCCATTTCTTCCTCTGGGGGGGGCCATGGAGATGAATGGCCACATGGGGGAGGAAAGGGCGTTCGCTGGGAAATGGGCCAAGCCACCAGCTGCACCCCCCTCCCCTGCCCTACAATGCTCAGGGAATCCATCTTGTGCCAAACGTGGACAGATTGCTGCATCTTGGCTCCCGGGCTCTGGCAGAAGCTCCAACACACACGCAGCAGTGTGCTTGGGAATCCCGCTGCTCCTGTGCGTGTCCCTACAATAGCCATGGGAGGATGGGGGAGGGAGGGGGAGGCAAAGACACCTGGCACCCCCCTGTGCCCACCATCATTCTTGTCATCTTCCTTCAGTATCTCTGCCTTGCGCATTTCCAGAGACTGGGGCTCGAGGCAGCCTTCTGTCGGACTCCACAGGTCCATGGTGGGCTCCCACCTTCACTGGTTTTGGCTTCCCTCTTATACATACTTCCTGTAAGGCTTGGTTTTTAATCTCCAGCTCATTAATCTGCTCCATGTATTCTTCTAAGTGTTCTGTCTCTTCTATTAAGATCCTATTGTTCTTCATGTCTCACAATCTGTCCTTTATTTGCATCCATTCTCTGTGCAATCATGTATTTTCATTCCCAAGTCATTCATCCTTTCTCCTTTGGCACATTCTTCCTTCCAAACTCTCTATGTTGCTTCTAGAATACCATGCAGTAGCAGAATTATCATCCTTGACTTTTTCACTGTATCTTCAATATTTGCTCCCCCAAAACACAGTCCTGCACTTTCAAACATACCCTCCTTTACCCTTTCACATGGGTTTCTTAGTTCCGAGATCATGTATTTGTCTGCCACTGCATAAGCAGCTCGTTACTTAGCATTAGTCACTGCTTTTCCTCTCATTCCAACCAGCCAGTCCCTGGCTTCTATCCCCAAATCCTGGGATAGTTGTTCTTTGAAGTCTATCACCTGTCCCTTCTTAATCTGGAAGGGAGGTTTGTCTGCCATATCCTAACTTTCCTTGCTCTTTGTCAAAGTGTGCCATTATTCGTATCAAGATCCAAAATGGTCCCAAAATTCTGAATAATCTCTTAATTTCCTTATCCAAAATTCAAAAATGTCTTTCTGTTCAGTCCAAACTTTTTATTCCTAATAGCCTAGGACATTCGCTATGTTTTACAACTACCTTAGTTAGAGGCAAGATCGAAAAATTCCCGTCAGCTGAAGGCGTCCCTCCATTTTGGTTTTCGTTCAGTCGTCTCTTCCACAGGCTGGTATTCCTGAAGACAAAGTCTCTTTTATGATCCTGTTCGTGAAGCCAATGTATCTGACCGTAATAAAGCGGTTCTTGATTCAGTAAAGGGGAGACTATCAGCTTTCCAAGGAAAGCCCTTCTCACAGAGAGACTGAACGCCAGATCTGGTTTTAGACACTATGCATGTAGCATTAATTCTATAATATAAAGAATAGAGAAGTATAAGAATACAAGTTCAGCAATCGTCAGCAACAATATCATGCGTCCTCATTCACGCTCACATTCATGCAACACTCATACTCACAGACAATAGACCCTCTCGGTGATCCATCGGGACTGTGGGTGGCCAGTTGCAGCGCTGCCCTGTCACAGACGGGGGCTGGAAATCCCAGTCATTTACACCTTAGAGTTGACTCTATCAGCGTAGTCTGTCTGGATTGAACAGTGAACTCCTCTGGGCAGGGCTGGCACCCAGATCGTGCTGGTCCTTTTCATGGACACTTGCCCTCTCATCCCATTCCATTCTCTCCCTGGATGGTACAGCGTGGGCTTACCTTATCTGTTGTGTTCCATTCTCCTACCATACTTAAAATCACATTTAAACCCAATCTTGAAACAAAACCAGCACAACACAATTGTGGGAGCAGCTACACATAATATCCTTACACACTCAGCGACATGCCAGAATACTCAGGGATTTCTGAGCGGACAGGCGGGTTCTTGTGACCCACATGAAGGACGCCAGATATCTGTCCCGAGTGGCACAAGGGGATGGTAAATAGGGTTCCCAAGACAGACTTTTTCCTAGGGACTAGGTGCTTGGATAAAGGTTGACATGAAATTTCTTATGTATTTGGTTCTACAAGGTGTTCTTATGGCAGGATCAAGAAGGGGAGGGGGGCAGGGAGACTCGAGGACAAAAAGGAGGAAGGGGACCGTCCTCGGCTTTGCTTCCTTTAGGCTGAGAACCCCCCCCCCCCCAAATAGGACATCTTTTGGTGCTATCTCAGCCTTGCATCCTCTGCATGGCCCCTGGACGGTCCCTTCTGCTGGAGTCATCCTCCTTCCCGGGAACGATTGATGTGAGTCTGTCCCACCCAAACCTGGCCTAGCTGCTGCATTTCAAAAATTCCTTTTTCCTGTCCATCCCTCCGTCCTCGAACCTCTTGACCCGTGTGATCAGTTTCCTCCTGGACAGTTGGCTGTTTCCCTTAGAAGTGGCCATGGCCCATGTGAGCAAGCCCTGTTGCGCCATTGGCTGAGCAGGTCTGTGAGGTCACAAACGCCCCGCAGTCGGATCCTGTGGGATTGGACAAGCTCTTGTGATAGAGCAGAGGGGCTCTCAGGATGGAGGACGGACCCTCCCCAAATGGTCAGACCAGGGAGGCAGAGCCTGAACCGTGCTGTCCTCCACCAGAAGCAGGAGGCTGGACGTGGCCCAGGCCGACCTGGCACCCGGCACAAGATGGGGAGCTTCACAGAGCTCTGCCTGGAAGGGGAATGGTTCATTCTGAGCCTCAGGGAGGATCCTGTCTGACCCCTTGCCACACCACACGACCTGATGGTTGGGGTGGCAACAGGGCCGATGCCGTTCCCTGAAGGGTCCAGAAGCAGTGGGGGTCCCGGACACACACGGTCTACACACAGCATGTCCCTTTCGGCCATGACGCCCGCTTCTGGCCATCCTGAACTCTGAGTGCTGCACATTTCCTCTAACTGGCAAATATGAGGAGGCCTGAGAAGCGTGTCAATGAGTATCTTTAGGGATCTATGTCAACGGGGGTGCATGGGAGGAGTGGGGAGCAATCCCGTTTCCTCCATTCATTACCATGCATCCAATTAAGGAGTTTTTCCTGCTCACATCGTGCTCTCACAAACCTATAAAAATGCAAAGCAAGGAGGATTCCGAGCAGAGCCCGTGAACCAGACCGTGAGGTGCTTGCAAGGGCTGAGCTGGTTCCAGGAGGAAAAGCATCTTTTGCCTGCAGTGGGAAAACTCTCAGCAAAGAGGCTCTGGGATGCCGCAGGGAAGATCTGGCGGCACCCAGGCACATGCGGTCGAGCAGCTGGGATGTGCCGAGGGGAGGCCATGGCGCCGATGGCTGGAGAGGCCGTTCTGCCCTAGTTGGAGGGGCAGCTCTTCTCCCCCTTCCTGGACAAGTGAGAATGAGGCATCTGGAGTGAGGTGCGGTTCCCCTTGGCCCATTTGTGGCAGGGGGCTGCACCCCTGGAGGTCGGGGCATTTGGCAGAGGAAGGTCCCAGAAGTCTCAGTGCCTTAAGTCAAGTAACGGCTGGAAACTGACTGAGGCTGGTGTCATGGCTCGGAGTGTGGGCCTGGGACTCTTCAGTATTATTCAGTCTAGTCTTGATTGGACATGCACATGTAGGCGTGTCGTGAGCGGAGCCAGCTGGAGCCGGGGGTCAGACTGGCTGGCCCAGGAGGCCCCTTCTGGCTCGCTCTGCTTCTCTGCTTCTATGTTTCTCTACTCAAATGGCCCTCCCCTGCACCTGCAGTCTGCGCCCTCGAGGCAAAGCTGCGAAGGCTTAGTAACCCGTCTCCCATCAAGAGAAATCCATCTTTGATAAAAACTGTTGCCAATTGCAGCACCCCAAAACACCCCAAAAGTAATTGGCCAGATGGAGATGAGTTAGTAAAAGCGCCACAGTTCTACGCACGCCCTGATGGGGTAGCCTTTTTGGTGGGCCTGCTGGAAAAGGAGGCTGTTTGTCCTGCACATCCTCCTCCTGCCTCGCTATATCCCAGGCCTCATGCGTCTCATCCAACCAATCATGCCGAGTACTCATGTGATGGCCACCCCTGCAGACCCCCCACGCCATGGGTCTGCAGTGGGCCGAGTCACAGTCTTTCCCCTGCCTGTGAACCTGACTGTGTGTCTCTGATACGTGCAATGTCATGTTACACCCGGCAGTTGGGCAGGATGGCAAAAAGGGGGGAAAGAGGTACTTGGACAAATGAATGTTGCCAGCCTGCCACACTGCCCGGCAATAAATACTGGCCCACTGTCCGGGAAGTTGCCTCACTGTCTGGCAGCGAAGGTCAGCCACCTCAATTCATTGCCCAAAGTCCGGCGTGTGATCTGATCCTGACCCTGCTCCACATGACATCCCCTCATCAACTTGCAAGTCGCTCAAAGATCCCCTCTTCAGGCTGAACAGACGCCGTTCCCTCCATCTCCCCTCATAAGACACCCCTCCAAGCTCAGCTTCCGTCCTTGTGGCCCTGCACTGAACCGATGCTCTCCCGGCTATTTCTCTGCTGTAATGTGGAGCCCAGAACTGGACGCAGCACTCCAAGTGTGGGTGCACCCGAGTCGTGTTCAGCGGCATCAACAGCTCCCTGCATCTGGATGCCACGCCTCTGGCTGTGCATCCAAGGGGACTTTCACCCCCGTAACAGCCATGGCACACTGCTGGCTCACGCTCAGCCTGCTGT